ATTAAAACTACCTATCCAATTAAAAAACCTTTGAGACATTTTCGGCCAAGTATTTTTTTATGGAAAAATGCCATATACGGAACCAAGATTTCGGTAACACGATTTCGAACACCGAACCTAGTCTGGGTCTATTGTCGAGTATATAACTTGTTAGTAAATTAATACGTAGAGTATTGTATATCCATTGGAATATTACAGAATTAAAAATAAGAATCTTTATTTTAATTTATAATGAAAGTTATTATAAATACGCTTGAGGGGAAATGCTCAACTTCCGACAGTACACTGTCACAGCGAAAAGCGAGCATTACACATATTTCACTTATAATTATTATTGTAAAGCCATTAATATATTAAAAAAGTCGTTTTTCTCAATTTCATTGTCTGATTTGTAGTATATCTTTCGCTGCTTGCTTTAAGAGCGTCTAATCCCGACTTTATTTTGTATGTTTGTTCGGTTCGTTAATCTACTGGTAGCAATATATTGCTAATGATCATCGGGTTGTAGATTCGGTTCTTTGTCCATTGTATAACAATCCTACGGTTCACGTAGGTTTGTTATACATTGTTCACAAATTAAAAAGCGTGAAGTTTAATTGCGTTTTGGTTCAGTCTGTGGTTTATATGGCTAAGTAATTCACCTTCCATTAAGTGCAACCTGTGTATCTTTGTCTGTCAAAAAAAATATACACAATATCCTTCTATAAAATAAACCTCTGACTAGATACATACTTACTGTGGAGTACGTATTGAGAATTATTCGTGACCATTGCACATGTCGAACGATGTTAAGGATGCATAGAATTAAACATTGCAAACTGTCTTCCCTTGAGAACTATGCGGGACCTTAGAAATTTTCGGTTTGTTATAAGAAGTCCATTCTGACGCCAACCTTATTCAAGATGATATTATTCTATAAAAGACTGGTGTTCTTCAAACTACATGTACCTTAATGCAGCTAAGTGTTTTCATATAAAATATTGTACAAGAAAAAAAACCGTTCTTGAACCAACGTCACACGTAAGCCGCATAACCAGCTTGTCTTGGAGCGGATCTTAAAGAGGTTGTGTGTGAAATTCGCGACCTTGGATTAATCCTAGACAGTAAATTAACTTTCATACCCGTCAGATTCATGACAGCAGTAACTAAATCTGCACAAATTTTGGATTTTTTTCAGAAAAGGTAACACAAATGGTTCCAACAGCAAAACTTGAAAACTGTGTATGTATAACGTGTTCTCTAGTACGCCAGTGCCAAATCTCGTTTATGGAGATATTTCGATACGGAATCTTTTATGCGATACACACACAACGCATTGAAAGTAGACAGAACTGTTGATACAACATCTCGAATAAACTGTAGTGGCATATCTATAGACACTAGACTGAGCGACTCAAAAATTTTAAAATATTTATTCATTGTACAATACGAAGACTCGTACGAGGCTTTCATGTTCCCCAAAAAAAAGTCATGAATTGTCCACAATCCAGTACAACTTCCTTAAATTCTTTAATGTTCAGATGTACCAAAATCATGATCCTAGTTGTGTGACCATTTTTTACCCTTTTACACTGTGTCTAAACTAAATAAGGGAATCCAAGCACTTTTTGCTCGACACGATGCGATCGTACATCCAACTTGGTCGCTCAGATAAGAAATAGATGAATTCGGAGCAACAAAGCACATTCAAAAGACAATTTTTGCTAAGTTGGATTCACAGAGTTAACATTAGGTTAATCATGATTATATGACAGTTTCTTTTGTGATGTTGACCATGCCATTGGCTACTCTTTTAGATATTTTTATTCTTCTTCTTTTAAATATATTATAAATAAAACTTTAAATAAATTATCACTTCAAAGATAGTAAGATTCATAGTCGTAAATAATATTTATACTGTCATTGTTAAAAGTATGGAAGAGTTACTTACGATAATTTTAGTTATATATGAACTTAATGTAATGTTTACATTTAATAAATAAATAAATAAATTTTTTACCGTTTAAAACGTGAAATCCGGATAGTAACTTGTGTTATTTACGATTCGGATTTCGGATATTTTTATTTTACGGCTTTTTTTCATTACGGTGGTTTGTGTTTCGGACAAATTATTGTTACTTAAAGAACTCATATAATTGCTGTTCCGTGCTGTTGTTCAAACCAATTGAGCTACTGTGTTCGTTCCCTACGTTCCTTCTCTAAACTATCACTATAATCCGCATTATCTCCCAGTTGACATAAAAAGCAAAAACATAAGATCCGTATTTATCGAGCGTTAAACACGAATTGGTTACAGTCCAATAAAAATATCCATTGTTTTCCCAGCATTCGTGGATCTCCGGAAGAGGAAAATAAAAGAATGGAAATCAAATATTTATTGTCGTGGAGGATGGCTCGTTATGTTGTACCTATGGATTATTTTTCATCGCTGAACGTGTAAATGTTTTAATAGGACGTTTGCTTTAGAACTCGCTGCTTGCCAAGCGATAGCGTTTGCTGCTTTTATAATTGCTAGTTGATTCTCGTTAGTTATTGGTTCCGCCTTTTCTTAGAATGAATTGTTTGGCTGCAAAAGCTTTATAAAACTCGAAGATGTAAATAAACCAGTTTTAAGTAATTTAAACGCGAAATTAGTTAACTTATTTTCAGTATATTTTACGGCCCGACGTTTAGGATTCCATGGTCACGGGAAAGTAATAATTTGCGTTTGAAACCATTAAAAATGTTTTATTTAAATGTATACTACCCGCGTTAACTACAGACGATATTAAGTAAAGATGGTCTTACTTTGTGAAGTGTAATATTGAACACAATTAGAAGCATTGCGTTCTACTCCTACGCAATGAAAATGTTAAAATTATTATCTACACATAGAAATACAACCTTAAAATTTTGCCTATATTCTCGTATTACAGATTATTAAGGTTCAAAAAAGAGTTCAAAAGTTGAATATGCAAAATAAACGATTCCTAATCCTTGAAAGTCTTATCTTAGTTATATTTGAGCTTATGTGGCTTACTGAAAAACTTAAATTTCATTTCTGCCATAATATACATAATTCTGCCTCTGTTTTACTGGTTTGAAAAGTACATTGTTTTTGTTTTTTTTTCACATATATCCAGTGTCATAGCAGACGGATTCCAATACGACAGTTACTTATAATCTTAACAACAAAAACTATATACATAAATATATCATAGAATTAAATACTAACATGTACTTAAACAATACTAGATTTCGTAACTCAAAAAATTATAAGGCACCGTAGTCTACCAGACGAAAACTATTTGCTTATCCAAAACCAAAGAAGGTTGACAGTGTATCTTGGTCAAATGATATGGCTGGGCTATTTCTCCTTCCATCCAGTAAACCCATATTGTCTCTCTACCTCTATCATAATAAAAAAATATGGATGAATAATGGGAGTATATAGACATTTATATCCGAAATTTGAACCTTGAACCTCGCACTCAATGCATTAAGTAGCATTTAAACATTAAGCGAAAACGGTTCTGTTGAATTTTTTATTTAACATTAAACGAAGATTAATTGCTTAATTATGTTATAACACAAGGCGTTGAAATAATTTAACTTTTTATAGGGTTTATATGGAAAACGTTAAAAAAATGTAAGTTTTTAATCGGATGAAAACAAACATTATTACGTTTTTAACAACATTTAAAGGACATATATGGAAAATCCGTGAACCAGATTTTCGCCCGGCATATTAATCTCCGAATGTTTTAGGCGAAAAAAGGTTGACAACACATCTACTTTTTATCAATTGCACCTCTTTTTCTTTATTATAAATATCTTAGTAGAATATCTATAGACATATAATAAACAAACAAACAAATGAAAGAAAAGTACTGAACTGAAAGACTTTTTTTACAATAATAAACAACTCACACACAAATGGACTTATTTATTTTCATAGTTTAATTTTTTAAATATTTATGTGTAACCTATCTTCATTTCTAAATACAGAAGTAAGAAGTACAGAAGAAATAAATAAAGAAGCGCTCTAAGCCACGGCCTACCAAATCAAATACCTTGGAATTACATTTTTATAATTAGCTGTCTTTTCTTAAATATATCTCTCTCTTTCACCCAACATACAAGCTAGTGGTAGAATAATATTTAGAGCACAAACGGAATTCTTAAGCGTAAACCTATTAAGTTAATTGCCAGTTCAAAACAAGTTGTTAAGTAACATTTATACTTACGGCACGGTTGTAACGAATGCTCATGCCAAAACGACAGCGGTTCGTGCCAAAGCCCTCTGTTTACTGTAAAACTTGAATTAAAACGTCTGAAATGAAACTTATGACCGGTTATTAAAGCGTCACGAATCGACTTTTCACATAAAGTAGGTGACGTTTTTCATTTTAATGTGAGGGCTGATTGGTTAGTGTCCCAGCGCTGGGAAATGGTTTTTTTTTATGATAGAGGAGGACAGGACAAGCCATCAACGATGTAAGATCCTTTGAATCTAAGTGCACTTAAGCTATCTGTTGGAAATCCAGAGCGAAACGAATGCGGTTAAGCTTGTATGAGCATTCGTGACCTGAACGGAATTTTGATATTCATTCATTTAACATCCAAATCAACCAAACCAAATCAAATTATAAATTGAAAAATTAGACACAAGTTGGGCTCGAACCCACGATCCATTAATTATTAGCCATACATTGCTACCATTCGACCAACGAGCCCGTCTGAGAGAAGGATTGCAAAGTCGCGAAGTTAGACCCACCACTCTGCTTCAAAGCTGGCGTAGCGGGCTTCAAAAAATCATCCCGGCCTGGTGGTATTATCCTTTTTAGAAAGTGCCCTAGTAATCCAACCTAGACCGCATTCTAGTCTACTAACCAACAAGGCAGGCGATAGAGAGGCATATAATAATTCTACTCTATTCCGACATGGAATTTGTTCATTAAGAGATTGTAATTTTATGCACGAGTTAACATTAAGAATTCCATATCTATAAAAAGCTGAAAATGTTTGTACGAAAAATACGGACAATAAGTGAGGTATTTTGATTTTGTTTTGGCGGGAAGTTAGTAAATGTGGAAAATATAATGCTTAGTGTACAAATTTTGTAGTTATTTAGTTACATAACGTATGTGTATGATACAGATTTATATCTTGCTAGAAAATTTAGAAAATTGCGTAAAATTATAAAAAGAAACTTATGAATGTAATAAATTACCTGGCCTCTTTTACCAAAATAAAATATAACACAAATGAGGGTATTTTATAACCAAATTCTATTTTAACCAAATGTATGGGTAGATTTATTATTATAGGCATAATTTGAACTTACGAAATAAGGATAAACTAGCTATCCCCAAATATTGGCTCCAGAAAATATTTAATTCATTAATGGGGAATTGTATTCGTATGTAAATGCCAATTGCGATTTCAAATTTACCAATGAATAAATGTTTGGTTTTTAAGTTATAAAATTTAGAACGCCTTTTGAGACAATCTAAATTTCTAAGTTATAAAATTGAGACTGTCAAAGGGCGTATTATTGTCTGAACGATTTCTTTAATGACAAGACCGCCTGGCAGTAATATGAATTGCCCATTAATAAATTCACAGTATTAGTTTATATGACATGTTTAAAAAAGCCGGACTGAGTTTCTTGGGTATTCTTCTCAGTTATGTTGCTCTTTTGAACATTGTAGAGTCACAACGAAAGGACAGACGTACAAACATAATATTATTTATATATTTTTTTGACAACCTAAATATTTTTTATAATTTTATAGAGAATAAAGTACATTTTATTTTATTAAAAAAAATTTTTTAATTTTCTTGTGTTAGTTAGAGCTTTTATCAAGGGAGGGTTTAAGCTTTAGAATATACAATGTCAATGGAAAGAATACTTGGAAAGAAGGAAACAAAAACGCGGACGAAGTGCGCTGGTACAGCTATTATATTATAATCGAGCGTGGTCACGGGGGGGAATAATGATTTCAAATTGTAGATATTACGACGCTTTTATATAAAACAGTGAACTGATTTCTCTTATTTCCATTTAAAATAACGCGTCACTGCCTTTGTAGCTATTTCTAATATCCTTTACTTTTGTTTCAGATCGGTAACTTGAAGTATTTCTATCTCTTTTCACACCCTCACGTGAGAAAGAGATCTGTGAATTCGAGCAAAGGTTACGTGAACACTTTGAAAAATGACCCTCAGGTGAGTGATGTTCTAAGTTTCAACTGCGTTTTGAATAACTTTTATTACCTACTGACCTTTGTAGATTTGTCTGTTTGCACACTGTCTGTTAAAGCTTACTAAAAACGACTCTGCAATACAATAAGGAGGACAGACATGTCTTGAGGTTCACTTGATATATATATATATACATAGGCCTATAGCAGCGAATGCCCTGTCGACGTATTGTGGCTTTGGATATTCGGAAATCCACAGACTAAAAACGAAACGCGATTAAGCATCACATCTGTGGACGGCGGTTCGTGACCAGGACGGAATTTCTACATTCCTACCTATTTAATAACCAGATTTCAAGACGAATCCAGCATGTTTAAGAAAAATTATAAATTGAAACATTAGGACCTGTGCTCTTGTAGATTAACATAGTCTATAAAAATATAAATAAGTCAAGTCTTAAAATTGCAGTTAGGCCACACTAAATAAAACACAATACACAAAAGTAAAACACATTCAGCAGGAATCAAAACGAAACTATACTGCCAGGTACAAGCTATGAATAACTGCGGTGCCTTGCCGCACTTCAAGCCATAAAACAAGACCATCTGCAGAGCGTTTACCAAGAAATTGAAGTCAATACAGTATTCGAAGTTTACACTTATTGATTCGATAGCTATTGAATATTTATGCGCGAAGGATTGGCAAACCGAGCCACTTCGAGTGCAGCACTTGCGAAAATATATTTTACCGCTGTTTCTATATTCAACTGCTTTACATACAATTAGGACAACATGGCGGAAAGACTTAATGAAATAGAACAGACTTAGTTAACATGGAAGGTCTTTTCGTAACGTTTTGTTTTATCTGTACTGGGGCGATTCTCAAACAGTGATATTAGATTCTTGTCGACCTTGTTAAAAAAGTCATTCCTTTTTTAATAAAGAAGGACAGAAAAGCATGGGGATGGTAAAATATCACAGCAACATAACATCTTAACAGGATGGACTGCGGACCCATTTTGGCTTTGGATATTCGGAAATCCAGGAATCGAAAAACTATTACACTTCAAGGCTTTTTCATTTGTGGACGGTGGTTCGTGATCGCGACGGCCTTTGATATTCTTGCCACCTATTTAGTATCCAGATTTTCAGACAAAGTCGAACAATCGTGTATGGCTTATACGGCCATCGTTCAGCACATCATTCGTTTTCGGTGTGTAAGGCCGACGTTAGCGAGAAATTTCTGACGTTTCGCCATCACGAGCGGACGGCAGCACCGGGAGATGTTGATAGCTCGTCTATTGCTCGAAGAATTAATTCAAAATTATCATTGTTCGAGTTTTTTATTGGGTCATTGACCCTGACATAATATTTATGAGCTCTATTGTTTCAATCTACTTTTCCTCCGTGCATTTATTTAGCCAAATTATATGCATGTAAAATATATAAAAAAGATACGACGACAGAGTATTTTCTTTAATCGATCTAAAAAAATATATATATACAAACATTGTCTTATTTGTATGTGACTTTATTGAGAACTAACCCCTCCTTGTTGAGGGTTTGTTGGTGGTTCAAAGTTCAATAACATGTTGGTTATAAGTGCTAACTTTGAGCACATCGTAAAAATACTTGTGCCAGAATACAAAAATCAACAACGTATTGTGTCATCTGCACTTGGCAAGCGTGGAAGATTGATATTATACTTTCGTAAGAGATGTTAAAGGGTTGGGTCGTGGCCATTTCTAAAGTCATTTACTGAAATACATGTATGTTCAAATACGTAGAATTTTAAATGAGATTACTCGGTAACGTTTTTCACTTTTTAAATACTTCACTTTAACCGTTTAAAACGCGAAATCTATTAGTTAAAATCCTTTACAAATTGGTTTTAACTACAGCCCTACGTTTTACTCTTTTACGCTAAAACTCCTAAAGTAATTAATAGGAAGAATCACCTAGCCTCATACAGTCGTTTTTATAACGACACTGAAATGCCTGTATTAATTAATATTTAATGGTTCAAACTTAGGAATAAGTAAATTATTATTATATTTCCATCAGAATATTACGCACTATAGACATAGAAAATTGAACTCCCCCCACTACCTTCAAAAAAATGTTACCCCGCGATTTCAACCTGAGACCTCACGTGCTTATTTCAATGTAACACGTTGAACCGTTGGGCTATAAAAGGCGCTTTATAGATGCACAATTAAGATTAAATGCCAAACACAGCGCTAGTATAAACATTTTTAGGTCTGACACTTAACTGTATGTTACATGAAACTGTGCTAAAATAAATATATTTTAGGTGAGATGGGTAATGCAACAAAGAGAATTAAGAAGAACGAAAAGAGACCACTCCTCCCGGCCTGTTATGAGGCAGTCCAACTTGATATCGTTTCCTGATCCCCTGTTTAAGGAGCAATGGTATTTGGTGAGTCAATATGCACAAGCCATATTACATGTATGAGACAAACATTTGTTTGTTTGTCTAACTATATATAATACTATTTAAATAAAACGGTTTAAGACGTGATATATATTTGTTACCTATTTGAAAATTATTTTATTTTAACTACGGCCTCACGTTTCGGGTTCTTTCCAGCAGTCGTGGTCACGGGGAGATTTTAAACCGTTAAATGTTTTATTTAAATGTATCGCGGCGTAAACAACAGATAGTATTAAGTACAGTACTGTTAAATACTGTCTATAGTTTAAGCGAGTAGTACACATTTAAAAAAAACACTTTAATCTTTATTTAGTTAAACTTTTTGAAAATGATTTTTAACTTCGGGGGCCGTGACCACGGCTGCTGCAAAGCATCCGAAACGTCGGGCGAAGTTAAAAATATTTTCAAATAAGTTTAACTATATATCGCGTTTTAAACCGTAAAGTGTTTTATTTAAGTATAGTACTGTTTTTTTTTAAGTAAAGTATTAGTTATAGTTTATTAATATTCTTTGCGAATAATAAAGTAAGCAGAAGGAAAAGGTTACAGAGCAAGCATTTAAAAATATATAAGGCAAGAAATTATATCATATATCGCATATCTTCTCTACTTGTTTCAATGATTTATATTATATTCATAATTATAGTATTTTTGGTATGCAAGTAAAATTAGTAGATTTTATTTTGTTTCTTTAATCTACTTTTGATATCCCAGCTATATCTATCTATAGGTATACCAAGTTTATATATATATATATTAAGCATACGAAGTATATTGTATAAACATATAAACGGTCCTTGTTTGTTAATCTTAGGCATGAAACTTCATATTATTTTCTTCACGTATTTTTTTTTACTTTATACTAGATCTTTTTTCTTATTCCAGCGAGTACAATATTTGAACGATAAAAATGCTTTAGGGTTGGGGGGTGGGGGTTGGACCCAAACATTTTTATCTTTTAAATATTGATTTACATCAATAACTCTTTCCGTCTTATTTCATCCTCTTTACATTTCTTTAGCCGAGATTTTCTGTATTTACGTTTTTTTTCGATTTCTCTTTAAATTATTTTGTTTGTATTGTATTTACTAAGATAACGAGAATTATCTCCCCACCGATAGGTAAACAAGGTAGTTAGAGGGTGTTATCCTGTAATGGTACTTTCAGAACGGCGGTGCGGCAGATGGCTTGGACATGAACGTCGGTTATGCCTGGCGGAAGGGGTACACTGGAAAGGGAGTCGTTATAACAATATTAGATGACGGCATCCAACCGAATCACCCGGACCTGGCGCAGAATTACGTAATTATGCTTATGTTGATACGCGACGATTTTATAAAATGCGTATAATTTTCTTTAATGACTAGCTGTGTGAGGGATTTCGCTAGCATAGTTATTTTGGGTATAAAAATGTGTTTTTTCATCAGTCTCATCAACAGCTTAGTTGCTCACGACCTCGGTCATGTCCTGTCGTTCTTCTTAATCTTAAAGATATACAGACATATAGTGTCACGGACATTTTTTTAGATAATTTAAAGAACCATTCCTTAACACGTATTATTATTTGGGTATCTTTAACCGTTTACTCATCATACGCAACGGAAAACCACAAAGATGATTAATTATTTGAAAACATTAATATTTTTCACATGTTATTGCACATGAAGGCACTATATAATATAAAAATCGAAAATAAATTGAAAAAAAATTTTCGTCTCGGGCAGGACTTGAACCGGCATCGTCAGCTTTCCGTGCTGTTGCTCTACCAAAGTCGAGTCGAAAGGTTTTTTCAATTTATTTTCGATTTTTAAATGATTAATTATTGCCATTTTTTCTGTTTCTGTATATGTTTCTGTTATTCTTCAATATGTACTACTCGCGTCAACATGTACGTGATAATAAAATGACAGTGAAATCAAAATAATCTTATTTTTAAGCAAGTAACCAATTTAGCTTCAAGTTTAAACGTACCTAAATATGTTTTATTTCCCTATTTAGACTTTATTAAGACCAGAATGAGATTTCCAGAGCACGAGATCCGTTATTCTTCATAAGTCGGAACATCCAATTTTACTAAATTCAAATACCTTTGAAGTGTATAACAATGTTTAGCACCTACACGTGATTTCTTAAATACAATAATTTTTAATCAAATAAATAGTACGTTAAACGATTATCGTACCAATTAATGCACGAATATATTTACATAATGTGTCAAAATATTAATAAAATGAAACTCATGTTAAGTAATTATATTATTGGTTTGCTTTACGTCTCGTTGTTTCATTCAATTTGTTTAACAAAATGTTATTTAACATTTCACCCGGCGACCTTTGGAATTATTACTTTCGTTAAAAAATGTTTAACACATTTTATGAAAAAAGAAATCACAGCGCTAGCGTACAACGCCGTTCCGTATTTAATCATGTAGTTACATTCTCAGAGTGAAAAATTGTAAATCGTCGACATAATTAAAGAATAGAAGGAAATATCTCTAGCCAACGATATTTTCACAAGGACGTAGCGTCTTGAATTTGAGATGAGGTCTTGTATTTGACCGCGTGACCCAGTAGGAAATTTTCAGATCGCATGCATTCTCACAAATTGTACGCGAAATATAATATGTAGATCGGTCGGATGTTTGCCTCTGTAAAAAGCCCGCATCGCGCTTAATTTCTTACAGAATTTTCCCCAGGGAGTTTTCACACAAATAAGGTTTAATGCTGGCGTAATTTTAATTATTTAGGACCCAGCGGCATCTACTGACATCAACGGGAACGACACGGACCCGACACCGCAAGACAACGGAGATAATAAACATGGCACCAGGTGCGCGGGGGAGGTGGCCGCCGTCGCTTACAACCGTTTCTGTGGCGTAGGCATCGCGTACAATGCCAGCATCGGAGGAGTCAGAATGCTAGACGGCCTTGTTAACGACGCAGTGGAAGCGCAAGCATTGAGTTTCAACACTCACCACATAGACATCTACAGCGCGTCTTGGGGGCCGGAAGACGACGGAAAAACGGTCGACGGGCCGGGCCCTTTAGCGCGAAGGTATTGTCTAATTATCTTTGAAAGAGATTGCTGCTACCGAGCTCATTAAAAACAACTACGATAAAAAGAAATTCAAAACACAAACACATTCCCTTTTATTATGCTGTAAACTTAAATAAATAGGTGTGATAATGTTTATAACGTTATAAGTATACATTACTTACGACGTTAATGTTTCTTGTATCAGGCGAATACATAATGTTTTAGTTGATGTATGTATAATAATATGTTTTTACATGTTTCATGCCTACCTTTAGTTAGAAACTTATTGAAAGTATAAAGATACTTTTTGTTCCAGAGCATTCATAAATGGGGTTACTAACGGGCGGGGCGGAAAAGGCTCTATTTTTATATGGGCATCAGGAAACGGCGGTCGGCACACGGATTCATGTAATTGTGACGGTTACGCCAACAGTATATTTACGATATCTATATCTAGCGCAACCCAAGGCGGGTATAAGCCTTGGTATTTAGAGGAGTGCTCCTCCACTCTAGCGTCTACGTACAGCTCGGGCACACCGGGTCGAGATAAGAGCGTGGCCACAGTGGATATGGATGTGCAATTACGCCCCGAACATATATGCACCGTCGATCACACAGGCACCTCGGCGTCCGCCCCACTCGCCGCGGGAATTTGCGCTCTAGCTCTGGAGGCGAATTCTGTACTCACTTGGCGTGACATGCAGCATTTAATCGTAATGACGTCTCGACCGCAGCCTCTAGAGAAGGAGGAGGGGTGGATCGTAAACGGCGTGAAGCGGAAGGTGAGCCATAAGTTCGGTTACGGCTTAATGGATGCGGGTCAAATGGTGTCCCTGGCGGAACAATGGTTAAGTGTACCGCCGCAACATATTTGCAAGTCGCAGGAAATAAACGAGGACAGGTCCATTGAAACTTCTTTCGGATACACAATTTCCGTGCATATGGACGTGAATGGCTGTAGTGGCACTATGAATGAGGTCAGATTTCTGGAACATGTTCAATGTAAAATTTCACTCAGCTTTTTTCCCAGAGGGAATTTACGGATATTGCTCACGTCGCCGATGGGGACTACGTCCACACTTTTGTTCGAGAGGACACACGATGCGACCAGCTCGAATTTCGACGACTGGCCGTTCCTAAGTGTCCATTTTTGGGGAGAAAATGCCGAGGGACGATGGACCCTACAGATAATAAACGCCGGCAATAATCACGTGACGCAGCCAGGAGTATTGAAAAAATGGCAGCTTATTTTCTACGGTACAGCGACGAACCCGATAAGATTGAGGAATAAAAACTATTTCGACTCGAATAACAGTCAGCAGGAGGAAAAAACCTATCACATTAACGATGTATATGACGCGTCCGAATATTCCCAGTTCCTAAACGAAATTGAACTGGGCATATCGGATCGACACAACTATCCGAAAAATATCCCCTCCTCGCAGAGGAAAAACGTGCTGGCAGATGCAAACGATAAACAAGTACAGAGAATGTGTGATCCGGAGTGTGACTCTCAAGGTTGTTATGGAAAGGGGCCAACTCAATGTGTCGCCTGTAAGCATTATCGTTTAGATAACTCGTGTGTATCAAGATGTCCGCCGCGGAGTTTCGTAAATCAGGGCGGTGTGTGCTGGCCCTGTCATGAGTCATGCGAGACTTGTGCCGGGGCGGGGCAGGACTCGTGTCTGACGTGTGCCCCCGCACATCTTCTCGTTATCGACTTGGCCGTTTGTTTACAACAGTGCCCCGACGGCTATTATGAAGATCCGGACGCGAACGCTTGTTTTCCCTGCGCCGAGCACTGTGACACTTGCACAGAGAAGGCTGATCTATGCTCCTCGTGTGCACATAGCTACGTTTTGTACAATGGCTCCTGTTTGGCCACTTGCCCACCTGGGACGTTTCAGAAGGATGACTTTGGTTGCATGCCATGTCATGAGTTATGTGAATCGTGTAGAGGCCCCGAAGAAATGGAATGCGTTTCGTGCAGAATTGGCTACTACGCTTTAGAAGGCAGATGTATATCTAAATGTCCTGAGGGATTTTACGCCGACGTACAAAAGAGGGAATGCGTAAAGTAAGTATAACTTTTTTATTGTTGCTTGTTTGTTTTATCATGCGATTTATGAAGAATCGTGTTTAAGGTGCCCCATCGGATGCTCGGTCTGTTCAAACGCAATATGTTCTGTTTGTAAACCGAAATGGTTGCTCACAAAAGGAGGTAATTGTTTCCCAAATGGAAACGGAAAATGCGACACAAGTAAGTTCACAAAACGCTATACAGACGCAATTTAATTACTTAATTGGCTAACTTTGCCAACATTTGTTACAACGTTAATTATGTAAGCACGAAAAACAAATGTAGATTCTCTTAATACTTAACGAGTAAATGCATGAAACAAACCGCAAAGCTACACAAAGCATTTCTATATGAGCACGTACAAGAGCTGAAAAATGTCAATTTAACGAATACCAAAGCTTTTACGCCGCTTTGCTAGCGTTCTTTGTTTAAAAGGTTTTTTCTTCACAGACGAATATTATGAAGGAGGACGCTGCAAAAACTGTCATTCCACTTGCGAGAAATGTAGCGGACCGAACGAATGGGACTGTTTATCTTGTTCGAGTCCGTTGTTATTGCAGGGATCGAGGTGAGGGTGTATTAGTTATGTGCTACCCTTCCGACCGTGAAGGAATTTAACAAGCGTCCCGTTTTAGGTGCGTCGCGGAATGCGGACAAGGGTTCTATCAGACGGCGGGTAGCTGTACTCCGTGTCCGTTGACTTGTACCAATTGCGTTTCGAGATTGAACTGTTCATCTTGTGCGGGGGCATTACGACTGCAATCCGGGACGTGCCGCGCGACATGTGCTCCGGGGTATTACCCGGATGAAGCGATATGTTCCAAATGTTACTTGTCGTGTGAAACATGCACCGGGGCTAGACGGAATCAGTGTGCATCCTGCCCGCCCGATTGGAGGTTGGCGGCTGGTGAATGTAGACCAGAGTGTCCGCAGAACTTTTTCTCTTGGGGTGACAGTTGTAGACGTTGCCACCATTACTGCCAGGATTGTTATGGAGCTGGACCGCAGCGGTGTACGTCGTGCCCCCCGCATTTTTCTCTAGAGAACGGGTTATGTGTGGAGTGCCTTAGTTCTCAGTACTATGAGCCTAGAACGAGAACTTGCCGTCCGTGCCACGATTCATGCAGGTCTTGCTCTGGACCTGGACCGACTAGCTGCGTTACGTGTGCGCATCCTTTACGCTTAGATAGGTAAGTTGATAAATTGCTTTGTTTGAGATTTTTGATTTTGCAAATCTGAATAATTGGCCTCACAAACAAACATATAAAAGTACTTTATGCGAAATGGAGGAATAAACTTTTCAAAGACATAATTTGAAACTCAAACTTTTATAAACAGTAACAAATTGTGGAGCGTTGCCGACGTCTAATGTCCTACATTTCCAACTTTAGCAGTCATAAAATTTTCAACTTTGTCCTCGGAAGATTTATAAAGAAGTATTTGCTTCTGTTTGCAGAGTTAACCACAAATGTTTGCCGTGCTGTACGGAGAATATGGTGTCGTTGTATTTGAGTAGCAATCAATCATCTGATTGTTGTCACTGTGACAGGGACATTGGTAAGGGTGTTACCGTAATCTTATGAGGTCTTACGCGTAAGTTCAAAATATAAAGTTATAAGAAATAACAATCAACGTAACGAATTCGAAAATTTATGACGAATCAAAAAGAATTGTATGGCAAGTTCCAAAACAAATTCGATTGATGAAAGGAGCGTTTGTTTTTATCTCTCTTGAAATAAATAATGTTTTAGTTAAAACCGTTTTCATTAGGTAATTAATTCTTGGCCAATAAATACTGTGTACAAATTTGGCGATATAAAACTTTTATTCGCTCACAAAACGTTTTAGGACGACCTTAATATTAAAATTTGATTTTGTTTAGAACAGAAATATTTTAATTATACAAATGTTTTATCTCGGGCTAAATATATAATTAAATAAGCAATAAACTGTTTTAGTCGGGTACATAAACTTGATTAACTTGTCAGTAACAGCGAAATAGACACATTTGTCTGCCGTATTCCGAGATCACCTCTGTAATTTAATGGTTAAACGTGTTGCCTAGAATAGCGTTAAGCGAGAGGTTCTGGGTTCGAATTTACAGAACTCAGATCAATTATTTGTCTGAAAAGTTTAATATTTTTTTCATGTTATCGCACATAATAGCATTTATAATTTAATATATCAACGTAACTACTTGTCTGTAAATTAAAATCTATTGGTGTAACAGACCCAGAAATGTGTTGTCCCCATGCCCCATGAGGGGAAACCGGATTTCGCACTACGTCCTCGTTCAGCCCGGTGAAAGATAAGGTTTCCACCGCACATATTTGATATTAAAAGCCATTTTTGCGCCTGTAACCCGTCCGTCAAAGGTTATCGAGGAAATAAATAGCTATAATCCATTTCAGGAGGCTGTTTAAACGGTTCATCTGCGGGTAAGCGGCGCATTGCGGAGAACATTGGGTCACATATGACCGCGTCGTTTTTTGTCGACGACGCAAAAACCAAGCCAAATATCTTGGATCGTGATTTATTGATGGCGTGGAGCGGCGCTGCCACCGTTCTTCTGGTCGTAGCTCTTGCGATTGTGATAAGGGTGAGGTGTTTTGTGGCTATTTCCACTTATCTGATGGTCTTTTTCTTTTATTTGTATAAATCGTGGATAGCATTATTAGGAATGATGTATCTGTCTTAAATATAGATCTGGAAATAAGGTTCTTTTTGTTTGCTTTATTTGATTTTATTCTGACGGGCTTTATTTAATGGTAACAATGTGTGGCTATTAATAAACGGGACGTGGGTTCGATTTCAACATTTTTCTTATCAATTTATATTGTTTTCTGAAGCACGTTGGACTTCGTCTGGAAATTAGGATTTCAAGTGGATGGTATGCATATCGAAATTCCATCCGGGTCCCTAACTACTGTCCCCAGATGATAAATGTTAATCGCTTTCAGTCTTTAGTCTGTGTATTTAAAAATATTATAATATCTGTTGTCTGTCAGTAAATGTCCTATGTCAAAAACCCTGCTCTTAAAGATTTTTTTTTTTCAGACTAGAATCAAACGTCGAAATCAACTCACTTTGTACCCAAAAGCGGTTTACTCTCAACTGACCACGGTCGATGAAGATCTAACAAGTCTGTCTCTGTCTAACACTAGCAAACTGAAAGTGACAGAGTGCGCTATGAGCAATGAAGAACCAACTTAGTAAAAATTCAATTAGCACTAAATTACATTGCAGACTGAGATGTAGAAAGTTCATATAGATGTATATTATATAGTGTAAGTTGGCTTATGAAATGACCAAATAAGTATTGTTTTTTTTATTTTACTTATTTCTTAAAGTAAAATATACGCTATTTCTTTAGAACGACATATTTTAGGCGGTGGATGTATTATGCAAATATTATCTTTAACCAGTGGAGATTTATGTATGGGTATATAATTTCATGGTGACGCCTTCAAGAAAATATTCTCAGTACCTATATGTTTTGTGAAAACAAATTAAAGCAATTATTTTGACAAATCAATTTTTTTAAAATCGAAAATAAATTGAAAAAATTTTCGACTCGGGCAGGACTTGAACCGGCATCGTCAGCTTTCCGCGCTGTTGCTCTACCAATTAAGCTACCGAGTCCTACATCGTCGAATTTTTTCAACTTATTGATACATGCACCTCTCGCGCAGTGTAATTTCAACCTTAACACTTGCGTACTAAGGTAAGGTAATTCAATTTTACCATATATTTTGTTTTATACATATAAAATTGTATTTATTCAATAATAATCAATTACACATAGAATCGTCATTAAAACTTAATGGTTTCCATAAAGCAAAGTGTTCTCCATTTTAATTTTGTCGAAAGGGTTCTTCCCCATTTATTATTATGAAAGCCTCATACTCCATAAAGCTTATCGTGAAATATATTTTTATTGTTCATGCCATTTTAGAGTTAATGAAGTTCGTGCGGTAATTGTACTATTAGGTATTGTCAGTTATGAAGCTATACGGAAGCGATGCTAAGCGATAATTTTTTTCCGTGAGTTTGAAAAAGTATTGCGTTTTATTAAGATCTAAACACACCAATTAGATTAGCTGTGAAATAAAACTAGTTTCTAATTAATGAAATCGAAGCTACAAATTTTTACGTCACATGTAAACAAACATACTCACAGACTAAAAATACATGACAAATCGACTAAAAAGACAAGGTTAATAAAAAGTAATTGCGAATTTCTTGACAGTTTCTTTTGTTTTTATTTTTAAACGGGTAATAGTTGTGAATGATGTTTTTGTTTTGTAATTTTTGATTTCGAAAATCCCAAATCGTATTACAATGAAGTCACAAAATGATATCAGATATCCCTATTTAAAATTAATATTTTGGTGCGTATACTGAAGTAAAAACAGTATTAACTTTGCTTAACAATACTTTATCAAACTCACTTGTAATGGACTATGTGTTTCCTTTTTAAACAATATCGTAAGCAAAAACATCGCTTTCAATTCGCTTAGAGTCTGACAAGTTCTGCGGCAAAGATCACATATAGAGGTCGTACAAAGCACTACGTATTACTGAATTTGTTATAGATGTGCATAAAACACCAAGAATTTAGTTTAAATATAAAAAAGCTATTATTTTGACCCCGCTTCATTATTGATTGAATTACGGCCGATGTAAATAAAAATGAATCAATTATCATAATGAATGTAGCTATTGTTATGTAAATATGTAAATAACGATATGTAAATATATTGATGGTTTTTATTACGGAACTATTTGTTTTATTTTAGATACGACCTTTGATAAATAACTCACATCCAGTTATTTTACACGAGAGATTATAAATATTATTCTAGCAAAGATATAGGAATTCAAAGTTTTAATGTATCATATTTTAATACAAATAAAACAAAAGTGAAATCCCGTTTCCCCCTTGTGGGGCGTGGGGCGAACACATTTCTGTGTCCGTTTCACTGATCCGTTTTTGAACATGCAAGTAATTGATCAGACTTCTGTATCAGATCCTACCCGATCGGAACAACTTACTTTCAGGACCTTTGGCGCATAACGCAATGCTAAGCAATACGTTTAACCATTTGGCTATAGAGGTGGACAAATAAAACAAAAACAATATTATTTAAATTATAATTAATTGACCTAATATCATAATAAACCTTTGAATTGAGACAAGTTAACGATGAACAGAACAATAAGCGGCTTTTTAGGAAGAATTTTACAAGCGGCAGATACTCATAATGATAAAAGACTTCGTGACGTCAGACAGCAAATTGATAAGTACTTTAAAGAATTATAAGGGTAATACTGTAGTGATTTTAAAAATACTTAGCGTTATTAAAAGATTTTTTTAAACAATTTATATCAAGTTTTAGTACGTTTAAATGTACATATGATTCGTTTAAACATACAAAGCTTGACTTGCCTTACTTTTTTTGGAAAGTTTACTGTGTTTTTATTTATACAACAACGATTTTTTTTTTTGTTTGATTCACTTGAGTGTGGGACCGCTGTCCACACTCTAAGGACTTGACTGAAAATCAGTTTCAAGTTGACAATGGGCCTGATAAACTGAGTAAGATTCTATTCTTTATAGTTGCACACAACATTATTTTGTCCTGTTAATATTAAGTTATACTGTTAAGATTAAATTATTTTTTGTTTTTTATGTTTTAGTAATCAGTGAAATATATGTTTTTGAGTGCCTTGGTAGTCAATAAATTTCTTTCTTTCTCCTTTCTCGCCAAAGAAAACTTGTTAGTATAATTTAAATAAAACACTTTAACGGTTTAAAATGAAAAACGATATATAAGTTAAACTTATTTGAAAATGATTTTTAACTAATATATCGCATTTTAAACCGTTAAAGTGTTTTATATAAATGTGTACTAGTCGCGTAAACTATACACAGTATTTGTTAGTAAAAATTTTCTTATGTTATTGACCTTGATGGCATAATATAAAAAATTAAAATGTCCGTGTCGTATTTATTTTTTTAAAATCCGAAATAAATTTTTCATACTGTTTGTAGTTTACTCTCGAATAGTACACATTTAAATAAATCACTTTAATTGTTTAAAACGCGAAATATATTAGTTAAACTTATTTGAAATTTATTTTAATTTCGTCCCGACATGGTCATGGGCAAGGCGTTGATTTTATTTACTGAGAAGTTCGTAAGTGACAGACTTCTCTTCCTTGCCAAAATCAGACCGAAACCAGAATATAATGTATTTATTGTTCGGTGACCGTAATAAGATTATTATTTTTAAGCTTATTAATATCTTTATAAACAAATTAAAAGACTTTAAAGGCAAGAATAATATTTGAAAATTTGACCCAAATAATACTATCCCTATAAAGTTTTCTAGTATACAACAAATAATCACGACTTCTGAACGACGCGATAAAATAACACGTTTAAAACGCGAGAACTAAATGGGCCATAACGGAATAGCTCATTTAAAGTTCTTAAGATATACAGTGTCGCATCTCGAATATATCTTCTGGAAGGAAACAAATGCCGTGAGAAAATGAGCCTCTTTGCGCCTGGATGAATGAACCATATTATGGAGTCAGATTTCGTTCTTTGTGTCCCTGTATATATACATTTATATGAGCAAGCTGAAGTATTTGCACGCTGTTTCCTGTCCGAATAATTCTTAAGTTATTCTGAGGTACGTACTTATTCAAAAAACAATCGTCAAAAGTACAAAACAATTTCCACGGCTTCCATTAAACAACAAACATCATGCCCAACAGGGTCGAAAACCATAATACTAATACCGTCCTTAAGGTTGTCTTTGCAAAATTGTCCCTTATTGAAATGACAAATGTCTTAGGAAAAATAATTCCGAATAGACAAGTGCATAGTCATATAAAATATGAAAAATATTTTCTAATAAAAGCCAGGCATTGCTCATTAATAAATTTAATGTGCCCATTTTAACACTAGGCTTCATACACTGTTATTAATATTTTTAGAGATGCCCCGAATATTTTTAAGCGAAACCGAATATCCGCCAAACGCAAACGGAAACTGTTAATTTTGGTTAACATTTGGTGCATAACCTGAAATAGTAATTTCAAGACACATACTCTAAACTTTTAAAAAATCTTTTTAGTCCGCAGATTACGCGAGTATCACACATAAACTATTTTTTTCTAATGTTTTAAAACGCGATATATTTTAGTCGTAGTTAAGGGGGACTAAATAAAGGGCATCCAACATGTCAAGGATGGCGCTCGCGTAGCAGTTTTGAGTTTGACTTTTAAAGCTGTCTAGAGTAGTGGTGCGTGGCGCCTTCTATGAACGTTTTCGGAAAGATGAAAAACTAAGGAAAGATCATAGAGAAATACGATAAGTCCATGCCAATCATATTAGATTCCTAATGGGATATATTATGAGGCTATCGTGAGTGGTCTAATAAAAAAAAATCAATAAGTCCACAATAAATTGTCTCATTATTGGTGTGAGAATTATGTTACCAATTTTTGGTTGGTGACATAATTCACATAGATTAACATTGTTAGACTAAAAAAATATAAATAAGTCAAGTGATAAAATTGCAGTTAGGCTACCAGAGTAGAGGCAGACCTCAAGCGGCCTAATAATATTGTTTCAATATAATATATAGACAAATTAAACCTAACTACGGCCATATTTAAAGATCATTTCAGCTTCGGAAATTCGGTTAAACCGAATATGAACCGAATTTAGTCGCATCTCTAAATATTTGCGAAACAAAGTTAATTTCTCATCTCGCGTTACTAAATTACAATTTTGCCGCGCACTCATTTGTTCAATTACAATAAGAAAATTGTACAATGGGAATGGTCAGATTTATTTAAAACAGTAAATACGTATTAAAGAAAATGCTTTTCATCGCGTACCCTGAAACTTCACACCACAGGTGTTTATAATCATGTCTAGCGTTGGTACCTTAATTAGGCTTTATGTCTATAAAAAGAGTTCCTTTCTAATTACGAAGCCAGGAATTTGGACTTAAATAATGGATAATCGTAATAAAATAATCACTAGTCAGAGGCTACGTATCTCCAACCCCCTGGTTTTGTTTGATGATCAGGTGATCTGTTTCCCAGTTTGCTCACTATTTTACACAAAAATGAGATTTAAACGATGTCTAGCGTTGTAGTGCATTAGCGAAAATGATTCGGGTTTCGAATCC